ATTTGATTGTAAAGCTTTATCCAGATGCCGCCAATCTCCCTCGCAAAAGAGTTCTCATCATTGTGGACAGTGGTCCTGGACAGAAGGATCTTTTGTTGTTGGCAAAGCTCAAAGTGAGAGGGTTCTATTTGCATRYTGGAGTTCCAAATACTACACATGTTATGCAGCCCACTGACCAGAACTACAGACTGTTCAAGTCAATGTATCATTGTAACTTGGACACCTGCAACACCCTGGTTTGTTTCTGGAGAGCTCAAAAAGACAACATTAGGCAAAACAATTTCCCATTGMTTGTTATCAGGAATTGCACTACATCCACTGAASAAGTTGTTTTGGAGCCCACCTAYGACAAAGCATTCTTGGTTGCAAATTCCAAAGCCATCAGGGCCAAAATTGGAATTGCACTGTTTACAAGACAATGCTTATCACATAGTAAAGTTGCACACAAGTTGATAGTACTGGAAGATGGTACCATAGACTTGACAACTGCATTGATTGAGAACAAAGAAAAGAATGCCAAAGCAGTGGAAATATTGAAATGATKCTGGATTCAATGGTAGTGTATTTCAAAAATATGCACCACAAAAAAGGAAGGATCAGTTGGAGACTGTYACTGTACCCAATTCCTGAGYYCKTCAAGATGCTCTTGCTGATGCAAAATATTCTAGCCAGCAGTTTATTATCACAGATGGAGACACACTTAACACTGATGATCRTTTTATTGCAGAAGAAAGGAAGCAAAGACAGCAGTAGATTAAAGACCTGGAGACACCAAAGAAGAAAGCTAAAGCAGTATCTGAGTTCAATGCCAAGGCTTCCAGATTAATTGAAGAATATGCCTCCAAGGGGAAAGATGTTAATGAAGAGGAAGATGCCAAGTCCCCACCAGTTTCTACTCTCAAGATATTATGCAAGTGGAAGCAACAAAAGAAGATTCCTGCAAAGAAGCAATAAGTGCTTGATCTTTGGCTGGAGGTGAAGGATATGGCTTTCCCTCCAGAATTAGTGATGAGGATGAGAGACTGAAGGAAGATGAKRWKAYWAYWAYTA